AACTATGCTCAGATTGATAAAGAAGCGTTATCGATAATATTTGGAATAACGCGTTTCCACGTTTACCTGTACGGGAGGCATTTTACACTGCGTACAGATCACCAGCCACTCCTCGCTATACTTGGTCCCAAAAAAGGAATTCCATCGATTGCCGCCATGAGAATGCAACGATGGGCTACAAAGCTGTCTGCTTACTCCTATGATATACAGTACCGAGCTTCGAACGAACATTCCAATGCGGATGGGTTGTCACGACTTCCTCAACCCAACAAGTCATCAGGGCGCACTGTCGATTTCGCAGATGTGTATCAAATGGAACAATTGGAGCCACTGCCCGTCACGGCGGAAGACATTCGGCAACACACGCTCTCAGATCCATTCCTACAGAGTATCTACAGCCACATCTCACACGGTTTACCGCGCAAAGTGGACGACAGCATAAAGCCATATATGATTTGCGCTCCTGAACTCTCATTAACAGATGGTTGCATAATGCGCGGCCAACGTGTCGTAGTCCCCGCAGCCCTCAGACAGCAAGTCCTCAAGGAACTTCATGAAGGGCATCTAGGAATCGTACGTATGAAAGAAATAGCACGGAGCCACATATGGTGGCCCGGGATCGATAAGGACATCGAGAGTCTGGCCAAGAGCTGTGAGCCCTGTAACACCACACGCAATGCGCCCCCGGTTCAGTATCACCCATGGATCTACCCTCAAGCACCGTGGGAGAGAGTACATATTGACTTTGCAGGACCAATTGATAACATGAACTTTCTAGTAATCACAGACGCATACTCGAAATGGATCGAGATTACACCCATGCGCACAATTACCACAGCTGCGACAATCAACGTGCTCCGTGATCATTTCGCACGATTTGGTCTGCCAGTTCATTTGGTGAGTGATAAKGGTCCTYAGCTGACCTCGGCAGAATTCTCGAATTTCRCCCAACGCAATGGCATAAGACACACTACTACAGCGCCCTATCACCCAAGGAGCAATGGACAAGCGGAAAGGTCCGTGGAAACTTTCAAGCTGGCGTACAAAACGGGACAAGGACCACCTTCCCAACGTATAGCTAACTTCCTTCTGCAATACCGTAATACATCGCATTCAACTACCCATCAGTCTCCGGCCAAGCTGATGTTCGGCAGAAATCTGCGCACTAGGATGGATTTGCTCTTGCCATACAATCCAAGACCCCAACACCCGATGCCCACTGTCTTCGAGCCATCTCGCTCYTTCCAAGAAAAGCAAATGGTATGGTACAGAGATTTTACCWCATCRGCAAATAAATGGGCTAAAGGCCAAGTGATCTCCAGACTCGGCGGCGCAATGTATAAGGTACAACCGGACTCTCATCCAACCCAGACAGTACGACGTCATATAGATCAATTAACGCCTTGCACCACGAATTTACAAGAGACCGGAAGGTCTGCCGAAGATTCAWCCCCCATTCAACGTCCCTCAGACATTCCCAGTCAAAGAGAGGAAGAGATGCGTTTGCAAGACTACCAGCTACCTAAAACACCACCTGGATCCATGTTCTCTACTGAGGTTACACAGAGAAACAGTCCGTCAACAGAACCACGTCTACCTARCCATGAAGCAGACCCGCCAGAAATGTTACGAAGATCGGAAAGGACAACCAAGGGTGTACCACCTGATAGACTCAGTCTATAAGACATTTGATGRCTAGGACTAACAAGAACAGTGAGCACAGCTGTGTTCATAYAATACATACATGTTRATATTACYGCGTTATGTTAGATAATGTACTTAAGAGGGGAGGAATGTTGTATATGGGCTCCCTTTGTAGGCCAGGTTACTTGACCATTTAGAGGACGTATCGAAAACGTGTTGTAAAACTAGGCTCTTTGTTTATAGTCGTTTCACAAGTAAATAAAGCACCCAAATACACAACAGGAGGTTTTAATGGACCTAGTATTAACCTGAAAGATCTCTTAGAATACGACAGATCATTTACAACTAGCTGACACTAGTTTAACCCTTTAACCGGCTCTCGTACATATTTGTACGATTTACATAGGCCACTCTTATAAAAACATAGCATTTCGTCAGTTTAATAGCCATGGTACTAACGATGGTTTGATTGTGTTGTCTACTAAATTCTATGACTGCTAACTCCAAAACTAAGCACCCAAGGCCTTGTTTGCAGAGAATATAGTCACTGAGGGCAAAATCGGAGTTGCACACTTTTACACGTAAGACGAGAACAACAAAAAAGCCTTAATTCAGCGTGATTCCTTTGCTGCACAAAATCCTTCATTCGCGCCAAAATTCATCCTTTTGCAGAAAAGCTTGGAGCAATTTTGCACTGATCTGTCTTTTGTAACCAGTTGCATTGAACAAGCCGAGAAACAGCTCTTCGCCAGCAGGCTAATGTCTGCGGACAATTATCATTATGACCATGCGCACGCATGGGACGCCTGGTTGTTTATTATTTGTCGGTCAGCCATCTTTTTGCCTTTTTACTCGTTCACTACTATAAAAGGCTGTTTATCGTTACGCGTTGACTCATTTACTGGCG